ACACACACACACACACACACAGAGTTTATCCCACCTCACGGTGACGCCCCAGGTGTACCCCAGTAGAAATGCGCTCCATAGGGTTTCCAAGGCTGTGACCTAAGCAGAATGCCCGGCCTTTCTTCCAAGGCACCTCTGGGAGTACATGAACTGCAAACCTCTGATTAGTAATCAAGCGCCTCCCTGTTTGCTCCATCCTGTGACTCCTAATTCTGAGTTTCATGACATTAGTAGTTGATTTTGTGGCTAGCATTACAAGTTATACTGGCTAGCATTACAGGCCAAAGCAGCTCTGGGCTCTTCCCCAGATGCAAACACTCATCTAGAGCCCAAACTGGCATTGCTTCCTGATGGTCTGGAATCAGGATTGTTCTGACCTGGTGGCGGTTTGAAGCCAGCTAGTGGAGAGACAGGTGAGGGAGTCGGCTTCCGTGAAAAACCATAGCCTCAGATATGTGCGCTGGGTGCAGTTAGACTCCTTCCTAAAGGGTCAGCAAAGAGTCAGGACTGATGGTTTAGGCTTGCAATCACATAGAATGTTTTTTTTTTTTAATTCAGATGCCTTGTCACAATAGATTTATCTTGAGTAACTCAGTGCCTTGGCCTGTATTACTGCGTCTTCAACTACAAATTTTAAAAGGGGGTGAAAATGGTGTTTTGCCTCTTCTCTTTCCTTTCCGAATGCAAGAATTAGATCCTTCAGCCATGCAGACTATTGGCCCTTCCCACAGTTAATGTTTGTTGAGAGAGAAAATAATAATTGGGTCAAAGTAGAGCCAGGGGGACCCAGTGGCTGGGAAAACAGCCAGACAAGGTTCTAGCTCCAACTGGAATGGGGACCCGGTGCCTGGAGGCTGTCCTGGGCAGAGCAACCTGTGACAGGGCTGTGGTTATTTTAGGGAGGCGACTGTGCACAGTAAACTAAACCAGTATCTTTGCATCTGGGCTCTCTCGGGGCATTCTCCGACTCACAGTCCATAACGTCATTCTAACTCTAGCTACTGTGGTGTATCTATCTGGCTGTATTCAGGGCAAGACAGCCAGGGACATCCATGTGTCCTGAGCAGTCAAGTGGTTGGGGGGGACATCTAAGCCTGACACCAGATAAGCGAGTAGGCCTTTGAAGAAATTCCAGAAATAAGTAGCGTAAAAGTAGTTCTGCCGACTGCAATCCACTTTAGGCTGCTGTGCTCCAGTGCCCCCCCCCCCCCCAAAAAAAAGTCATTTGGTCCTCCATGGCAAGTCCATGTGCTGCGGAGTGGACCAGTATTCCAGACTTTCCGAGCCAAGAGCAACTGCCAAGGCTTTCTTCTGCGGGACATCTGCATGAGTAGGAGTCAGTCAAGCACTTAACTGTACTACTCAGGAACTCCCCAGATTAGCAGGCTTGTTTTCCTGATCTTTCTTCTGGGGTACCTCTCAGTGAGGGGTCTGGCCTGTCGGACCTTTCCCCCAGTCCCTTAGCACTCAACTATTTCAAAACTCGGATCTGCTGAGTGTGTCACTCTGAGTCACTATGCGAATTGCTGAGTAGCTATGTGCCTATGTGAGCGGCTTGGGGATGCGTCAACATGATCACATTGAGTTTGGTAAGCCCTGGGTGCGCTCACCCATCAGCCTCTCCAAGGGAGAACGTTGAGGCCATTTGCTCACTCTCACTGCCATCGAGCCAAAGCCGACTCAGCCAACTCCTATGGATTTCTGAGACTGTCACTGTTCACGGGAGTGGAAAGCCCAGTCTTTCTCCCCCAAGCTGCTGGTGCTTCTGAACTGCCAACCACACAGATCGCAGCCAACGTGTACCCACTGAGAGACCCTACAGAGGGTTGCTCTGAGTTGGAACTGGCGCAATGATAGGGAGCGTTTGTTTGTACATTTTTGAAAGTTGATTTCCAAGCCTTTCTTACAAAGTGCCTCCAGCTCTTTTGTGAGCAGTGAGTGTGTTAACTATTTGCACCACTCCGAAACTCTGTTTTGACCAAAACTAAAACAAATGTAGAATTTAGAGTCCTAGAATAGCATCATAGAACCTAAGTATAAGGACTAAACTTAAAAAAAAAAACCTCAAAACTCACTGCCGTGGAGTCGGTTAACTTTGTTTAAGCCCGGCTAAAACCCCAATTAGCTCTCTGCTGCCTTGAGCACATGTGAACAACAGCTGTCATGTGTTGAATGTGTGACGTCAGGCATTGTTGCTACATTTGGGATTGTAATTCATGCCCATGACCCTATGCAACTGGTGTCGTGAACTGAGGAAACACAGGCTCAGAGAGGTAAAGCGGCTTACCTAACATCACACAGCAGCCAAGTTTCGAACTTGAAGGTATACACAATGGCCCAACACGGGCATACAGAATAAATACAGGATTTCCAACAGGGGAAATACGTCTACTAAAAAACAAAGTGGTTTCAGGGTGGTAACACCTGCACAAACTACGAAGTCCATAAGTTTCTCTCAACATTTAAGCTATGTGCAAAATTCCAAATCCTTTCTACTACATTAACTCTAATATGATTACACAGCACGTGGTCTCCTTGCCTCTTTTGCTAGGAGCCCTGGTGGGCTAGTGGTAACGCTTTGGGCAGATAACTGCAAGGTCAACAGTTCAAAGGCAGGGCTGACTACTCCCATAAACAGTTATAGTCTCTGAAACTCACAGGGGCAGTAGTACCCTGCCCTACTGGTCGCTGTAAATTGGCATCGACCTATGACAGTGAGTTTGGTTTCTTGGGTTTTTACCTCTTGCAGTTACTGCTCGAACTTTCCAAGTTCCTAAATGCTTCCCCAAGATTCTCTTGTAGAATTAATCCTAGGTAAGCCTGTGCGATTTCACTCAGTGTTCCCCTCACAGTCTGCCGTCTTCAAGTGTTACCAGTCTCCAAATGTCTGTGCTCTCGGAAACCTTTGTTCCTTTCAGAGCTGCCCTTTCCCTAGTTCTTATCGTTTTTATAACACAGCACCCCAAATAAGCCCATCACAGGCAACTGGAGTCTTGGAAATCCCATCGAGCCCAACCTCTCATTTCACATGAAATAGAGCCCACGCTCCTAGGTGGTGCCAACTGCTAATGCACCTGACTGCTGGTCTGAAAAGCTGGAGGTTTGATTCCACCCAGAGGCCTCTCCGAAGAGAGGTCTGCCGATCTATTTCTGGGACTGCCAGCCACTGAAGGCCCAGTGAGGCAGAGTTCACTCACTGACCCGCAGAGGGTCGCCCAGAGTCGATGCACGCTCAGAGTCTGGTTGTCGGTTTGTGGTCACAAGTTTGGGAGCTGAGCCAAGAACACCATCCACGCCTTTCAACTTTCATCACTAACACGTGGGAGCATCCAGGCGCTGCAGAACAGCCTGACCATTCCTTTGCTATTTGGGGGCCGGAAGAATAGAGCTGCCCATTGCAACAACTTGACATGAAATACCTTAGCCCTGGAAAGACCGTGAAATCCTAAACCGTGTTCGCCTCCGGGCACGGGAATTTCCACTGTTATTACAAACTGTCAAGCTGAGCGAACTCCACGAACAATTCCACGCACCGCGTCCCCTGCCAGGGCACGAAGCTCGCAGATGCTGCGTCCGCTGGGCTCGGCCGGAGAACGCGTCTTGGGGCTGGACGGCCCTATGCCAGGAACCCACGGCATCAGCCCCGGCGAGCAGAACCGGCTGGCGGAAGGCAGCAGCAGACGGAGCGGGGCCCAGTCCGGGAACCTGCGCCCCGAGCCGGGCCTGCGCGGGAACCGGAGAGCCCCCCAACCGTGCCACGCGCCGCCACGCCGCGTTCGCCGAGACCGGTACCCCCCACAGCCACCTCCGGCCCCCGGGGGCAGCAGCCCAGAGCCGCGGGAATGAGGGAGGCGGGTCGGAGGAGGGGCAACCGGGAGCGAGCGCGAAGCAGCCGGCGCAGCCTGGGGCACGCAGCACTTACCCGGCGGCGGCGGCGGCCTTCCGCGTCCTCCTCCGAGGCCCCTCGGTCACCACAGCCGGCGGCCGCGCAGAAGGCGGAGAGAAGGCCTCCGAGCGGCGGGGGCGGGCCGGAGGCTGCGCGTAGCCCCGCCCTCCGGGGGGCCGCCTGCGCGGGCCCGCCCAGCAGCTTGGCGCCTATTGGTGGTCACCATAAGGCCCCGCCCCCGAAGCTCCGCCCCGGCAACCGGCGTTGGAGTTTATGGGCGGAGACGTGGTCCTTACACTTCACCGTATTGGGGTGGAGAGCTTCTAAGGCCTGGGTGTGCTCCAGTCCCGACCCTGGCGTGCGCGGGAGCCTGGGCCTGAATCAGGAGCGTTACCGAAGAGGAGGTGTAACGTGAAGCCGTGCTGTCTGCAGGAAGAAAGCTTGCACCACTTTTTTTACTCCGGCTTTTTAGCTGATGAACTGCTAACTGGGTTCAATTCTGTGCGCATCCCGTGCTGCCAGCACCCATCCGGAAGTACAGGTTTAGGAATTGTTAGGACGCCGAACAGGTTTTAGTGAAACTTCCAACTTAAGGCAGGTTAGGAATAAAGGCCAGGCCATCTATTTCTGAAAACCAGTCAATGCGAATCTAAGGAATCGGTAACCATGAGACCAGAAGAACTGAGTGGTGCCCAGCTACCATGATTATTATGGTTTATTTTTTTTAATCATTTTATTGGGGGCTCGCTCAACGCTTACCATCCATACATCCATCCATTGTGTCAAACACATTTGTACATCTGTTGCCATCATCATTCTCAGAGCATTTGCTTTCTACTTGAGCCCTTGGGATTATTATGTTTCGATCAAGGACTCAGTAGATGATTCCTAATGAAGAGGAGGGAAACTGTGGAGGATTCCGAATTTCTTATCGAAGCCAGGTTTACTAGACCCACGGAGACTGGAGGAAACACCCGAGTCCGTGCATCGTTGAGGCGAACATCGCTGAGCCATGAACCAAAACTATCCCATAACGTTGTCTTTCAACAAATTACAAGTTAGCTGAGTTGGTTTAGAATGTTTGGCATGAGCATTGCATATTCTTTATGATTTTTACATAAAATCTGTATTTCCTTGGTTGGTAGTGAGGTCAACCATGTTTACATATGTTTATTGTTTATTTATGTTTATTTTCTGTGATTCTAGCCTTTACTTATTTTCTGATTAAAAAAATAAAGAAACGGATCAAAATGGAAATTAATGGTGGTGAAAAAATATGGGGAGATGATTGAATGCATGTATAAGCTACTTCGTACGTTTTCATGAAAAATATTTTTACGTAACATATAAAATCATTTGGGCATTTCAAACTGAAATCACAAGGCAGTCTGTCTGATTCCCAGGTTCTTCGTGTCTACTATTACAGATGTGTCTCATAAATAGCAGACGCCTCAGCTTGCCTTATACTTGGTGAATGCTCAAAAGGTGAGGGCTGACAGTTGGATTTAGCTCAGATGTCTACTTTTAATTCTAAACCTTTCTGAAGCGGGAATCGACTCGCTGGCAATGAGTTTGGTTTGGTTTGGTTTTTTCCTGGGGTTGTATGTTCCAGGAAGAAGGGACTTTTCTGCTCTGGCCAGTCGAGGAATTGGATGATGAGAGGGAAAAATCAGGACTTAATAAGATTGCTTAGGCAGAAGAGAGGAGACTGGGATGTAGGGCCTAGGAGCTACTGTTAAGTGTCTTTTTTTAAAGAGAACTTTTTAGAGACAGGGTCAAGGGAAAGGCATCTCTTGAAAGTTTAGTTTCTCTACCTTCATCCTTGAATGCTCTGCCAACTTGTACTCTTGCCCAACTTGAGTTAGAGTTTTAACTTTTTTTCATAGCCTGTTCTCGGTAGGAGGAGCTCTGCAGCTCCCCCGCTGGGCTGTGTGCATGTTTTTACCACTTGATTTTGTTCTGCATGCCTTTCATACTTCCATACCGGGCTCTTGGCCATAACTCGACAGCCATTTTAACCACAGGTTTAATAGCATTAAGTTGGTTTGCCTTGGCTATAAAATAATGGTTTATCTTTTAGATGCAGTGCATGACCATTCATTCAATAAGTCCTTACTGGGCACCAACTTGCAATACTATAATTCGTGACACAGTTAATACATATTCTTGTTGTTTACTATATGAAATAACAAGCATTCAGCTTTCTTTGGTGACATATAAATAACTATCAGAGCTTAAATCCTGAGCACCTCAGTTTGCTGAAGGCTGGGGATGGCAGTGATGGCCAAAATCCATGTGCAGCGTCCCCACATGGATTAAGCCACCATTGAATGCTTTCTGATCATTAACCAAGGATATAAATAATCTTGCCTTCAAGCAGAGTGCCTTGGAAAGATTTATTCCACTCCTCTCCAGCCAGCCCAGGGAGGGGCAGTCTCTCTCAGGGGCTTTTCTGGGTGTGTCCTTGATGGAGATCACTCAATAAGACTGTACACGGGGCCCCTGGGTCCGGAGCCTCGCCCTCAGCCTCTCCCTGACTGCCTTGGTCAGGAGGCCCTGGACCAGCGGTTTTCAACCTGTGGGTCGCAACCCCTTGGGGGTCTAATGACCCTTTCACAGGGGTCGCCCAATTCATAACAGTAACAAAATTACAGTTATAAAGTAGCAATGAAAATAATTTTTTGGTTGGGGGGGTCACCACAACATGAAGAACTATTAAAGGGTTATCGCATTAGGAAGGTTGAGAACCACTGCTCTGGACACATCTTGTACGCTTTTTTAACACTGTGGTCCCAGTCCTGCTTTGGTCATCCCACCTGTAACTGTGATGTGTTGATCTGCACCTGCCATGAATTTGTGAGTTACCTGTGTTCCGTGCCTTACTTAATGAGCATCCTGAGTGAAGGCACCAGGTCCTACTGTCCTCCCACATCTGGATGATGTATCTTTGTCTTTGTGTTGTCTCTGTCCCTTTTAAGACTTAATACGTGGTCTCCTTAAATTATATTTGAGATTGGGGTCTCTTTTGTACCATAAAACATAACATTTCTCTCTTCTTTTTTTCCAGATGAGTTTATCATCAGGAAAAATTGCTCTGCCAAAGTGACAAAAATTTATTGAAAACACATTGTTTCAAATTATGATTAACATTGAGCATTTATTACTATGAAGAGCGCTTGAGTACTGGATGTTAAACCTCTCTGCCCCTAGAGGACTCTTGGGGACATCTGTGGACACCTCCTCATCAGACCCTCATGGACCTGCCTCCACCTTCACACCCCGTCTCCTCAGATGAGCTTTCAGGCTTCATGGTCTTATAATTCCCTTGTGAACACTTTCAACTCACTTTCTCCATCTCCTTCCACTCAGCCAACGAGCCAATCCAGGCTAAACCCAAGTACCTTTTGGGAGAGGGTGGGAATCTGTACCTGTGTACCTACACGCGAACACACACACACACACACACACACACACACACACATATTCACACAGGGAAACAGAAGGCATACACTTTAGCTTCATGATCAAAAGTCTCAAATAGTCGGTGCCTAATCCTTCCTACAAGTTCTATACTTTGGGGGGACACATTTGCTTTTCCATAGGAGCCCTGGTTACATTTTGGACTGGTAACCATGGTAAGGTCAGCCGTGCAAAACCACCAGCCACTCCACAGGAAGAAAGCAATGCTTCCTGCTCTTGTAAAGAGATACCGTCTCAGAAACCCACAGAGGCAGTTCTTCCCCATTCTAGGAGTCAGAATGGATTCTAAGGCAATGAGTTTTGAACTTCTCCTTGAGATGATGATTTGATTCCTCTGTTACCTTAAGATGTTCCTATCCCCTCATTCTCAGCGTAGTCATAGGGTCGTTAACCACAAGTTTGGCAGTTCAAACTCACCAGCTGATCAGCTGGAGAAAAATGAGGCTGTCTGCTTGTGGTAGTTACATAATTTCATGTCAACTTGATAAATACGTGTAGGGGTGGAGTCTAGCCTGTCAATCAGGTCACAGCCTGATGATGCCTCCTCGTGGGCCTGGCCTGCTCATGAGCATTCTGGGAACTTCCCCTCTCTCCCTGGGGATGGGACCAGCATACTGCCTGAGTTAGCTGCTCTGCCTCAGCCAGGTGCTGTGCAGCCTGTAGGCCAGGCAGGGCTGCGCCACCTGGTCAAGGCAACTTGTGAACTGCAGGGGACGGAGCCACTGGACTCCAAGACACTGCCTCAACCTGCCTGCCATGTGTGGCAGCTGTCTGGGGGCCGATGCCGCACCTCCAGCCTACCATTTGCATCACTGGCTCAGGCCAAGAAAGCAGCTGGTGGGAAGCTGAAGTGTGGAGGTGAGCCGGAGGGCAGAGCCGCATGGCGAAGCAAGCACATTTTAGTGGAGCCTCACAATGGATCAGTACCTTAAATCTGAAGAAAATTTGGTGTCAAATTGTTAAGACCCAGCAATAGAAAATGTAAAAAGTTAAAAACAAGTAAAACCTTAAGGAATCTCAGACCTGTGTCCTCAGGAAGGTAGTGGAAGTCATCCCCCAAACTGAGGAAGACACTGCATCCTGGTCCAGAAACAGGATCTCCAGTCCAGGAGGCCCAGGGACGGAAGTCCCAGGGTCATGGTGAAAAGAACTCTTAGGACAACAAGTGCAGACTGGAGGAGGAGTACTCACAAGCTCTGGAAATAGTGCCAAGGAGAACGAAATGGAACCAACCCGATGTTTGTGAATGCAACAGCTAAGAGACTCGACTCTAACGACGAATCCAGGTACTCCTATCAGGAAAGGAAGCTACGGGGCACTATCCCTTATGGCTACAGATGTAAAATTCCTCAGCCACATACCACGTAAGTGGATTTTACTCCATGGCCAAACGGGATTCGTTCCAGGAAGGCAAGAGCAGCTCAACAAGGGACAATCCCATCACACCCTGAGAACAAAGGAAGAGCAAAACAAGACGCATCTCAACTGATGCAGAAAAGGCACCAGACAGCGCAGCACACTTCTCTTCTTTTTTTAAAGACGCTTTCATTGGGGGTTCTGACAGCTCATAACAATCCGTATATCAATGTATCAAGGACATTC